ACACTCGCAATTTTTGAAGCAACTAGAGAACTTCAAGAGGAAAACCACTCCAAAAGTAACCTACTTAAGCACTTTTTTAATTTTTGCGACATAGCGCTGTTGCAAGTTGTGTTTTCGCTCCATTCTTTCATAGTCTGATCCTTTCCGTTTCAGCTTAAAAATCAAACAAAAATTAACTGCAAAAACCTCCTCTTCACAAAAACTAGAGTAAACTTTGCAGAAAGAAAAACTTCATATTCAAATGTCAATTAAAAAGCCTTACGATTGCTCTGAACTGATCAGATGTTATGTCGGAATACTTCTGTCGCTCATAATCCAACCTCGAAGTCTTAGCAAGCAGCAGTACCCGTTTTGGCCGAAATAAATTTGCCTGCAATATAAGTCGGGGTTGTTCTCTAAAAAAAAATAAAACACTCTTACCCTTATAAAACAGCCACTATCCTGTAACTTTTTTATCCACTTCTTTACAGCCTTTACATTTGCCCTTACAGCAGGGTAAAAAAAAATGCGTATAGAAAAATGCAGTTTGTAGAAAACCTAGACATTAGGTTGAGAAAAAAGTTCGTGCCGTTTTTGACACATAATTTCAAAAAAGAAAGTCAGCTTAGAACTAACTTTATTATTCATAGTAAAGACCATCATGTTTTATAATCTGCTGCCAACCAGACACGAACTTTGAAATGCCATCAAGGTAAAAATTGACACTTCTAGATACCAAAAAGTCGCCGTGGGAGCTTACAACAGCTCCAAAGTCATGAAGTTCTAATACGAATGAACAACTCGAACCTTCTAAAAATGATAATAGAAAATAAAATTAGAGAATGAGACCAATGCGGCGAAATTCGCTACAGTAATTTATATACTTTCTTTTCCACAATATTAAAGCATTCTGCATGCTTGGCAATTAAAAATTACCTAACTCTTCCTTCACACGTCAGCAAGTTCGTTTCTAAACTTTTCACAGCAGATTTTCTTACACTCCAAAAAGTATTTATAAATTGTAAACCTTTTCTCTTCTAGAGACGTCGACTTTGCCGAATCCAAACTAACTCTGTTATCTATTGCTGGTCGAATCCGATGGTCGAACCAGATTTAAAATGCAACTATTTTTGTTTCAGACCTTCATCTATTGTGCCGCTTAAGCTGTTTTTGATCACAACCAACCGACCAACCAATAAACCACTTTTTTGTGCCAAAGGAGCTGTTTTTTCCATCTGCTTACCAATCCACGCAACAAGCAACATTTCTAACTCTAACACTTTAACCCATCTTGTGCCGTGCAAATATTTCAAAATAGTTGAAAGAAAACTGATTCTTTCTCACATTTTTCTACAGACCATCAAGGGTTTGCCTTTAGCGACTTTACCAAATTGGTATTTCAGCATTTGAACATTTTTGCTCACGTCCAGTTTACGAACTAAACGCTCTATGCAACAGAACTGCGTGCTTTCCTTCTCAATATTCACTCACTCAAAGTCATATCTTCCGATTTACATAAATTCTTCGCTACAATAGTAGCATTAACACTTTTACTTTAACAGATGGATAAGGATTTGGAAATACAGCACTTTCTCTACCGAGGAGAAAACTGAACAACAAATTTAAAATAAAATAACCTTTTTAAAGTAAAGAAAAGGAAGGAAATCAACCGGAAGAAACAAAAAACCTATAAAATACATAAATAAAGTCAACCAAAGGTTCCGAGAAAATGAAACACCATAAAAAGCGGTATGAACTTTTTTCCCAACCGATATTTAAACGTATAACCAATGAGAAATTTGTTTTTAACAGCAGATTTAACTTACATTTGGAGTATTTTCGGTCTCCCCCTCGAGATCCAATATATTCGACTGCCTAATTAATTTTGTTGAGCCAGCAACCATTTGTACCACCTTACGTTTACAAATGACCAACAAAGTTAGTTTACTTGAAGCAGTCGATAATAAAACCAAGTTGAATAAACCCAAGTATTTATTCATACAAACACCTGCAAAAAGACAAAAAGTGTAGAGAAACAAAATAAAATAAAATAATTGGTTAATTTTAATTACGCAAACAAGTTATTGGTGACAAGGGAAAAAAACGGAAAAAAAAAATTTTGTTCCTGCGCCATGTCAAATGACGTAAAATTGATATAGATCGCTGTCCTCGTAAACACATGCACACAAACACATACATACACTAACACAGTTGCAGTAACGTTGGCAACGTATTTACAGACACGGAAAAAAGTAAAAATAAGAGAGACAAAAATAACAAAGCTTGGTTTTCCATGTCTTGCCAACTTAAAAAAAAAAAAAAAAGCACCAGCCGACTAAAGTTTGAAAGTTTCCCGAACATCACCGCCACTAACCACAGACAACCACAATTCTCAACCTTGCAGCAGAAACAGCAATAAACAAGCAAAACTTCTCCTTCCCTCCTCTCTCTTTGTGATGTGCAAAACACCTCAAAACAAAGCCATTTTTTTCTACTCCATATACCCTTCACCTCTCTAACTGTAATTCTGGTCAACCAAACTGCAATAAAGCACCAGAACAAGCGAATGAATTTAATGATAACCAAAGAGCAAAAAGAAAAAAAAAAAACCTGGATTCAAAAATCCCTTGCCATGGCTTGGTAGAGTTGGTGAAGGCGTTCTGAGAAATTGAGGGATATTGATGTTATGGTGATTGATTGAGCCAGTTTTTTCTCTGGTACTGAAAACAAATATAAAATCAGAATATTGCTCTTTATGAAAACTAAATTTCAGCATCCAAAAAAAAACACGAATTCTCTGGATGACACAGATGCACTGTGGCATAACAGTTATCACGGCAAATACCAAAACTATCATCATCATCGTCATCATCATCATCATCATCATCATCAAACCGTATTGATACTGTTGTCAAAAAGCCGAATTATTAAATCAAAAACAGATAGATAAATATATATATGTGAAATAAGCGGATCGAAATAACGAATAAAAAAAAAAAAAGGCAATAAGAACAAAAACAACAGAAGAAATATATGTATTTATGTACTGCAAAAACTGTAATCCATCAACTGTTCTATCAACAATAACCACTTATATTTATCGTGGAAGTTCTGTCGATGGTGAGATAACCATCGACATTCCTTTTCTAAGATATTTTCAGCCGTTTGACCTGAAAATAAAGTAGCAAAACCTAATGGCAACAGGGGAGAAAAAAAAAAAAAGAGGATGGGAAAACTAGCAACAAAAAAAACATTCCGCTTACGGATGAATAAATTTTTGCAGACAAATAAAAGGCTAACAGTACAGTGCAAAAAGCTGTAATGCTTTCGTTTTTTTCCACTATCTTTGTTGGATATGTAAAATAAATAAATGGCAAAATAAGTAAAAATTAGCAAAAATTTATTGACTTTTTCGTTTTTTTTTTTCGTTTCCCCTCCTCTCTCCTTTTTTAGTGTATTATAACTGAACAGATGAAAATAAATAAACATCTGAAGAAAATTATTCCAGAAAAATACATAAAATGAAAAGAAAAGACAAATTTTTCTTTTTAGCAATTTTTAAGGTGATAGGGTTCAGTGAAGAAGGTTCTGTTTTTTTTTTTCTTCTTCTCCTTCTCTTTGTTCCTCAAAAAATTTCACTTTTTATCGTTATAATCAGGCAATACTTTACCGGAAACAACGACAAACAACAACAACAACGATAACAAAAAATAAAATTAAATTAAAAAATTAAAAAAAAAAAAAGCGCAGAGGGGATTTAAGCGAGGAAAAAAAAAAAAATTTGAAGTCAACAAAATCGAATGTATGAAAACTTGCAAACGGTTTCCGTTCACTTAACAAAAAAAAAACCCATTGGTGATATATATATGTGTGTATATAAAAATTTGGATAATAAATACAAAACAGAACCAACAGCGGTAACAGCAGCAAAAGTCATAGCAGAAAAAAAGAGAAGATGAAAAACAAAAACAAAAAAAAGAAAGAAAATACTGAAAAAGCAAAAATGAATGGAAAATCTTTCATAAAACATCCATTGTATAAGAAATAAAGTTAAAACAGAATCTTTTCTCCCCGATACTAACACTGTTATCATTGATATTATTATTATTATTAATATCACTGTCACTATTATTATTATTATTGTTATTATTATTATTATTATT